CATCCCTCTAAGCCCTAAACCCCTAAACCCCTAAACCCCTAAACCCCTAAAACCCTAAAGCCCTAAACCCTAAACCCTAAACCCCTAAACCCCCAAACCCCTAAAGCCCTAAACCCTTAAATCCTAAACCCTTAGTTTGCAAGACGCTTCCTGGACGCTTAAGGCTTTTGACCATGAGCCGAGGCAGATTCAAAGAAGTCTGCGAGTTACCGCAGGTGTTGGCAGAGGTGGGCAGGGAGAAGGGTTTAGGGTTCCGGGTTTAGGGTTTAGGTGGGCAGGGAGAAATTGACGTCACCGTCATACCTTGCAAGTTTCCTCAATCAGAGAGCTGCCCTCCAGAGGAATGGTGCTGCAATGGGTCCGTGAAAGGTTTTCCTTCATGATGTGTTCCGTGTTTGTCTTGCGATATCATGGAAGGATCTCAGTGAGAGATCCCAGCATGAGCACAACCCAACAGAACAGATTCACAGAGGCCTGTTCATGCACTGCTGAATTCTGCGAGGTTATTCTTACACGCAGCTCGGTGCGAACTTCGAGCCTATTTTCGCCTGATGTCGGTGATCATGCTGGCAGTATCGATTTTGCGTGTGTCCCACGTCCTGCCTTTCGGATATGTGAGAGTCTCACCAGCCGCGACAGCACAACAGTGAAATTTTTCAGCCCGAGCAGCTGTAGTCTTGAAGCGCCCCCTACCCGCACCAGACCGCTGAGGAGTACCATCCGCGCTTCGCCGAGAATTCTGAACTCGCAGCGCGCTCTGCACTGTTCTTGGTACTCTGCGGACTCTAAGCGGCAGTTTGTCTTGAACCCTGCTGTTCCTGAAGCCCTATGCCCTGCATCCTATGGATACTATAGGTTTGGAAATGCTTGTGTTAGCCCGGCTCAACAGCGGCGCTCCCGAGCTCGCCATTTCGGATGCATCTGCAGATGGAAACGGAAAAGGCCCAGACTAAACCCTAAACCCTAAACCCTAAACCCTAAACCCTAAACCCTAAACCCTAAACCCCTAAACCCTAAACCCTAAACCCTAAACCTGAACCCCAACAACCCGAAAGCCTGGGCCCAACTGCTTGGGCCTTGGAGACAGCTCTGCCAAACGAGGCCTTCCCTTCCTCATCCCCGAGGGCGAGATCCAGAGCCTCGATGCCTTCCTCCATACAGGACGGAGCACTTGGGGCTTAGAACAGAATTAGATATTAAACTATAAAAAACTAGACTGTTACTATGCTATTACTATACTAGTACTATACTATTACTATACTATGCTATACTATACTATACTATACTATACTATACTATGCTATAGTATACTATAAGGGCCTATGAATTAGGATGCAGCTTGGATTGAACAACCAGTGTCTTTGGAGGGGTCCTTCTGCTGATGTCTATGCCTTGAAGCAGGATCTAACTTGAAGGGAGCCATGTGGCCCCGGACACCGACAACAGCCGAACAAGTTTCCGAAAATCCTGGAAGACCGACAACTCTTTCGGCTCGAAGCCCTTGCCACTCATTTCCTCCAGAGGACCTCTGGATGAAAGGTGTGGGGGTTTGGGGGCTAGACGGTTGATGAACAATCGCCGCGCGGCGTTTTTCGCAAGCATGCGCAAGCGCCCAGAAACCTGCAGGCGTCAAGCATTCGCAAGCGTTTGCGAGTTTCCCGCACTTCTTGAATGGGGCAAGCTGAGCGAAAACGCCACAAGAGGAGCCAGAAATGTGGCAAGCTAAATGTGGCGAGCTGAAGACGGAACGCATTCGAGTTCGTGGCTCCTGTCAGGCTGTGTTTGAGGGGCCTCAAAAGATGAAAAGGTAATGTGAAAAGAGCGTTGCAGTGTTACCTTTCGGCTCGTTGCAGGCTTCTACGCCGTCGGTGTGGTGAGCTTCATAGCTGCGGGCTTACCTTGCAGCTGTGGCAACTTCGTTTGACATTCCTGTACTGTGACGAGGTGTTGCACCTGAAGAGAAACCTGGGTGCGACCATGGCGGCGACAGCAAGTGGCTTGCGAGGAGTTCTGCTCGCAGCGGCTTGGCAGCGTGGCACCCTGTCTTGACAGCAGTCCCTCAAGTCAGCGGAGGTCTGCAATGCCTGGTTCTTGTTTGGCATCTGTCCTGATGGCTACACCGACGACGCAGCTTGTTCAAATACCACAGCTCGCAGCGGCTGTGGCTTTGAGGTGGTGAGCTCCTCCTTCTATGGCATTGCCCATCTAGCTTGATTCAACGTTCAAGCAGTCAGATCCTTGCCTCAGCCTGCATGCTCAAATCCAATGTCAGGATGCCCTGAATCTGACAAGGCTTAAAGACGCACCTGAAGCCAAGGCACCAGTGTGGGTCTGGTGGTTCGGCCTACTGGAGGGGCTGCTGTTTGTGTCCCTATTGGCGGCTTGGTGGCAGTTTGCGCATCATCTTTTCGAAGTAACCAGGTCCGTGCTATGATGACGACTACCGCAGCAGTACACATCAGTATCGTGTGTGAGGACGATTGCCAGCATGGTTTCGGCATACGTCACCAAAGCCTAAACCCCGAAAAACCCCCGGCGCGCCCCTCTTGTACCCAAGTTCCTTTCCTCACTTGTTTGCTGGCTCCAGGCATTCCTGAAGTTTGCCACTCTGCAGCAATGGGCTCACAACGGTAAAAGTAATTCAACCAGAGATTTTGCGTTGTTGGTGTGGAACGGTTTGTCGTCAGCGTCTTGGCAAGCGAACCGTAGCAGCCGCCTGCATTAAAAAATAGGCATCAGCAGCAGCACCTGTAACAATACTCGAGCAATTTGCAACATGATCAGATTCATCATCATATCCACATCCGCGATATTGTGAGGGTTGACCTCTGTGCTGGCAGCCTTCCGCGGCCGAAGCTGACTTTGCAGTCCGCAATGTGTGAGACCCCAGGAAAGTGTCTGCCCGAAGAACGACAGATCCTGAGTGTTTCTGCTAGGTTTGTACAGTTACATATGAAACTCCTGTTGCAGTGAAGCCTCAGAATTGTATGGTCGTTTCTTGTGGTGGCTACCACTGCTGTGGCGTTTCCACCACCCTCCTGGCCTTCTCCCTCATCATCACCACCACCATCAACATCATCATCACATAAAATCGTGGCCATTTTAACCACAGACATTGTGGGACAAAACGTCATCTCATTCTCGAGCTCCCTTTCCTCGGTAGCGTCGTTGTCATTATCACCACCATCATCCTCATCGGCATCTTCAGCAGCCTCGTCATTAGGATCCGGGTCGCCATGTTTATTCGAAAGGACAAGAGCCTATGCGGAGGGCCACATTCAGCATCATTGCCCGGTTGGAGCATTGAAGAGCCAGCTTTGTGTTGAATTATCTCCGCATCAAAAAATGCTTCGCGATGGACCGGATGCATGACAAGTTTCCGGTCTTTGTTTCGAGCAGTCCAGGCTCGGTGTTGGACTTCTGCACTTCAGGCTGTCTGAATTAGTGTCCATCCGTCCAAGACATGTGCATGAGCCTTGTGCGGAACCAAGGATACAGCAGTGATATTTAGCATCAAGCTGTTTGCGGGCTACTGGAGCCTTGCCACGAACCAGCTCAGGAACATCGTGAACACCATATACATGTTTGTATGCATGTATGACATGAATATGCTTGCGAAAGCGGCAACTGCGACTAGAGGGGACGCAATTTGACGAAGTACGTGTTAGTATGACAGCCGATAGGGGCCAACCCTGCATGGATAGCCTCAGTCCTCAGTAGGTCTCGTCCATAAACTATCGGGGCCGACGCTTCTTGACGCACATAGATGTGAGTGGTTGTGACTGCCATTGACGAGACATGGCAGCAAGGTGTTGGAGGCTGGTACATGAGGGGAATTCACATACATAGGCTGTTGAAAACAGGTGCTTGATATCCGGTAAGCGCACAAGAGGGCTGCGTGAGGAACCTCTCAAAAGGATTGCTCTTAAACCCGAGAGGCGAACATGAAGAGGGCTTTGAGTAAGTGTGGAGATGGCTGCAAAAGACAAGGGTAAAGCCGGATTTGAGAAAACACACGGTGCAATGAGGTGCACAAAGCACTACCCAAGCTACATGTATCAGCCACCGCACGCCGTTCCAGCACTCAACTGTCTGGAGTCCTTGGCACTGCACATACCAGTGCGGTTACTTCACCTGGGTTCTTCGCGGGAAGCGGTAGGACCGGCGATGGGTGTTCAGGCAGCATGCACTATCGTAGTGCCACTGTTTTCTAGTGTCGTAGACGTCAAGGATTCAGTCACGGTATGCGCCTGAAGCTTTCAACTGAGAACAAGCCGAGGATGCAGTTTCTGCGGGGAGATCAGAAAGGATTCAGACAGCCCTTCACACCTGGATTTAGTGCCTCAGCTGCCGAGCACCGGTTTATGTGATGGAGTATCACATTGGAGCAGGTACCGGGCTGTGCACATTAACAGGCTCACATTACCCTACGGCCTGCTTGCATCTGAGGTCTGCGGAAGAACCGAGGCATTCAAGATTTGCAACTTTGCTGAAGCTGCGTGGCGTCTGTGTTGCAGGGTCCTCCGCAGCCCGGAGGAATTGCACATAATGCTGGCAGTCTACTTAGTGGCCACACTCATGCCTATAAAGGCAATGGGTAAAACAGACATGAGGCAGCTGGTAGCTGCAAACGTACCTGTAGAAATGTCTTACGACCGTGTGTGAAGACACCTTGCAGGGATATCCCGAATCGGCAAATCCAGGACCTGCGTGGTCTTGGGATCCATTTTCGCCATCCTGGTCTACATTGTGCCTTACCCCCTCACGGCGTTGAACTCTGCAAAAGAGGTGCGCCAGTATTCGATCGGTCACAGGCGAGAGTTTGCCACATAGATTCGTGCATTGGATGGCGTGTGCCTTGGAGGTTGCAACCGAGATGACGCACGAGGTGCCCGTGTGGGTTGCATTGCATTGAGATCCAAGCCTTGGAAAGCCCACCTCCACCTCGAATCATGTACTTGCAGCATGTTGGTGAGGTACCCAAGATTTTGCGATTGTTCGTTGAGTTCCTGGAAACGGACAAGAGCAACGATTACGGCCAGGCTCCTTTGCATACACACGCCCAACAGGAATCGGGTGTTTACACTTGTTATTCACAGCTGATCAGTTTTTATCACAGGGTCGGCTTCGTTCTACGCACCTCAACGACTCGCCATAAGGTCTGTAGGGTATGCACTATGAACACGGTGATGTGCTGCATGTCGAGTACAAGGCTGCCAAGAGTCGATGTGTCTGGATCTCCTTCCTGCTTGAGTGCCCGGCCAGGATCGTATTCAGCGGCATATACGGCGCTTGCACAAAGAGTCAGGCACGTGTCACCTGCAAAGACGTGCATATCCGTTGCCACACCGTCGTTCCCTAAACCCTGCACGGCTGTGGCGTTCCCATCGCTGTGCAGGTAGGCTGGCAGACAGCGTGAAGCATGCCTGGTGGGAGTGTTTTGGCTGCGGGCGCAGGCCGGAGTGCCGCAGCACACGCAGCCCTCTTGACCAGACACGGTGCCTGTGCCGTGAGCGCCGGAGGCAGCTGGATAGGTGGGCGCTTGGAGTGCTCGAGCAGTCGCTGCAGAAGACCTACGATGCGCCACTCAGCTGCTGTGTGTTGTCAGGATGCAGGATTTGCATTGAGCCCTTTGTGAGCTTAGTGCTTGGTTCGAACAGGCTTGTTTCGAGAGCACGCGGCCGTGCCGCATTGAGTATTCTAGGGGCTGCACCCACGGGTGGGCAGCGAAAGCAGCCCGGAGCAAACCACAATAGACTATGCTATAGTGTAGACTATGATAGCATACTCACCTTCACTTACAATAAACCATACGATGATTTACTACACTGCTTGAGCCTCAAACCATACATTGATTATAATATACTATTACTCGCAAACCGTTTTAGAAAGACAAGGACGGGTCCGCATGCACGGGCGCGCCTTCCGCCGTGGCCCCCCGGCCCCCTCTCTCCCGGTCTCTTCCCCTTCCCTGCCTTGTTGCCCTCCCCGCACCCCTTCCCCCTCCTGGTCGTCCTCCTCCCACCCCCTCGGCTGCGACTTCAGCGCTGATGATGCGCACCCCTTGGACACTACCGACACCAGCTCTAAAAACCCACACCACCTCCCTGCGCCTCATAGGCGGCTGCGGGCGTTCCGGGTGCTCGTGATGCTCGCCAAGCGCTCTCGTGGGCCCCGACACCCGGCCCAGTGGAAAAACGCAGATCCGATGATGCAGGGTCGGCGGCACGGCCGTCCGGCCCATTCCTAAAGCAAGGCATGCAGGCAGTGCACCGCCTGAAGCGGGTAATGCAACGGCGCGAGAGGGCGATCGCCCGGGGACCGGGCGCTGCTCGATTTGCAATGCCGCAAACCTGGACCGCCAACGCAGACCTAATTGCGATGAGCATGTTTTTCCTGAACCCTTGAAGCTGACTCAGGATCCAAGGCATTTGGGCTGTGGCCGAGCTCACCAAAACAGAGGTGGGCTGCGGCGCTGATTTCAAGTCAGTAGCATCTGCCGGTCCTTGTCGTCCTAGTCACCCTCCTCGTCCTCGTCCTTTGTAGTAGTGGGAGTGGCCATGGTTCAGCAGTGCAGGAGTCGAAATAGTTGTAGTTGCAGAAGTACTCGTTTTCGGTTGCAGTATGGTGGTGGCGGCTGCAGTGCTAACTGGCAGTGGTTGTGGCACATGGGGGTAGCATCCATGGTAGAAGACGGAAGAATCTGCTTGTAACGCTTATGATGGTGCCGTGTTGAGAATGACGAAGGTTGTCGTTGTCCGAGCGTGCATGCCCGTATGTCATCCGCCCCGTATCGTCAAGAGTGTCAGTTTCATCTCGTGTCATGAGTGTCTTGTAAAATCTTCAACCTGATACTCCTCCTCTTCCTGCTGTGGCTGTTGCTGTAGGTGTGCTGTGGCTGCAGCTGTTGCTGCTGCTTGTGCTGCTGTTGTTGTTGTTGTTGTTGTTGTTGTTGTTGTCGTTGTTGTTGTTGTTGTCGTTATTGTCGTTGAGGTGGCGGTGGTGGTGGTGGTGGTGGTGGTGGTGGTGGTGGTGGTGGTTGTTTTTGTAGTTGTCGGCAACTTCACTATGTGGCATTCCAAACTGCAGCATTTCCTCTGAGCATGTCATCACCAGGCACGAAGCGAGAAGCATGTGGCCCTGATCAAAGTTGTCAAGGTCGCGGCCTGGGAAGAAACAATTTCAGAATCCCTGTATTCCTGACAATGAAAGTCCCTGAAGCATCTGAAGCCTAAACCGGTTCAACTCGCGGACCTGGGTGCGGGCTGCAGGATAATTGTTAGTTTAGATCTCTGAGAGCTGCGTCGTACGCCGATGGCCCGGAATCCCCGAAGATCCACAACCCCACATCCTGAAGCGGCCAAGTAAATCTGTCTCTCGAGCAGAGGGAGGCTTGAGCGTCATCCTCTCCCATGACAATCTAGATCAAGATACTCAGCACATAGTGTTTTATTGCGTTGTAACCTCGGGATCTAGAACCAAGCCTCACGCACGAGTACAACTCTGTTTGCAGCCTGCTTGCAAAGTTCATGGAAGGGCCTGCCTCTTCCATTTGTTTTTCCTCAGGCACACTTTCTCCCCATCGTGGACATTGTTGAGGCCATTGCAATCAGTTTACATCTATGAGGTAGTTTGGAACAGCATAAACAGCATGTAATGTGGTAGCTTGCTCACTCAATTAGCGAGCTTGGCCAAAGTGTCTGCCGGACAGACGCCTCCAGGAGCTGCTGGTATCCGTTGTGTCGGTGGACAGTTTGGTCCACTTCACATCAGCTGATGCTGAGAGGGTGCCTAAGCATGCAAGTGTTGCATCAGGGATGTTTGACAGCCTGTCCACATCTGTCCACTGCAACCCACCACCTCATGCATTGCGCATTAGTCGAGGCCGAAAACTTCCGAAGCTGCAGGTCAGAGTCCTCAAAGACAAGATCCACGAAGCCAAGGGCCGTTTTCGAGAGGTGCTGCAACCCCGGGGTGGCATGATCAAGTCCATGAGATTGCAGTTTAAGTAGCTTTGTGCTGCATCCCGTGCCGGAGTGAAGACAGAGATGAGCGAGGAATCGTCTAAGCCAACCCTGATGGGAGATTCGTCAGCTGGCTTGGTAGTACGAGCAGCCGAAAACGAATCCGCCTTCAACACACCAGCACTGCAGGCTTTCTGGGAGGAGCGTGCAAGGATCATGGCAGAACAGTCACTTGGCTCGCATCAGATGGTAATCGAGGCTTTCACTTTCAATTCAAGGGTCTATGGCCAGGACAGACGAGCGGTCGATGCGGAACAGCATCAACGAGCTCCGCGTCATTCATGTGGTGGCCTTCAACATGAGCCGCTGCAGAAACATTTGTTTAGCCTGAGCTGCTGTAATGGCCTTGTGAAAGAACAACTCCAACAGCTGCAGTGGTTCTTGGGTCCTCGATCCTTCTTCGTCTTGAGTAGAGGTTATTTTCACGGGCCGCATGCAGGTGCTGCAGGTTTCCAGTCGAAGCAACGCTGTCCCAAGCAACCCAGCACTGCAAATCTTCTGGCTTCACCGGGTCATGTTCACTTGGTCCCGATGTGAGGATGATGATCCTCCGGGACTTCCTGGAGTATGTGACGCGAGCCGCATTTTCATTTAGCTCCGGGTCGCCCTGACACCCTAAAAACTCAGGGTCCCACAGCTCCTCCGTACGAGGCCGAGCAGATACTCCGGCATCACGATGGAGAGGCTGTGGCTAAGCCGAAAATCTACAAGCCAAAGCACTCAGGGAAAAGGCAGCGAAAACACCAATGCGCGAGCGAGGCACGCAATCTTGCAAGGCACAGATGTTTAGACTCTGTAGACGGTTAAGTGCTTCTCGGATCCCTCTGAGTGGCCTAATAATGACAAGAAATAGTAGTAAGAAATCTCCACGGCCATAACTATGGCAGACGAAGGTACTGATAACACGTTTGGCAGGCGGACCTGCAGAAAGTTGTCGAGCACGATTGGCTGGGCGGCCTTTTCCAGGGCATAGCGAGCCTTCGCACAACCCTTGCGTCAGTTTTCGAGAGGGTTTGGTCGAGGGCAGGTGGGGTTTCCCTAAGCTTCTGATGACTCCCTAAACCCTAAACCCTAAACCCCAAGCCCTAAACCCTAAACGGCCCTAAACCATCTTCATGGCGTCGTTGTAGGTTAGGTGGACTTTGGGCCTCGGGCTGTGTTGCGCAAAGCAGCCAAGGACCTTTCAAAACGTGCCTTGGCGGCTCCAGAAGCCTGAAAGTTCCGGAACTGCCGCCGTGCCTGTTGCTCTGCCTGCAAGGTTCGGCATGTGCTGCGGGTGGTGCTCTCTGTGATGCTGGGCTTTTTCTTGGGCTATTGCGGCGGAGGCGGGTTGGACCTGGTTGTGCCTGGAACCGCACACTTGGTCTGTCTCGCAAGACTTCCCGCTGCCACCCAGAGAACTCCTAGCATGGTATCCGTGGTGTCCCGGAAGTGATCGGAAGCAGGCTTCGTGACGCCTGGCACGGCAGCTGCTCTGTAGCATTTAAAAAAACATAGAAAATCATCGGGTTCTTCCATGCAGATTCTCCAAACTTACCATGCAGAGCATGTGAGATCACGGGCCCGGTGGAAGGTTCTTAGAACGGCAGCTCGAAACCTTCAAAGTCACAGAACTGAACCAGGAACATGTCTCATCGACGAGTTTTTGTAACGAGTAATCAGCCGGAAGGCTTTTGGGGTTCCGACGCTTCGAGCTGGGCTCAAGGTTTTAGTCGAGGGTGTTGCTCAGGACGCGGAGATGGAGCGAACCCCCATTGTGAACCCAAAAGCCCCTAAGCCTCGTGAATTGCGTTTCGATGATGGTCTCAAGCTCCCATACGCCTCGGATCCCAGGCCATCGCCAAGGCCACGGCCACACTTCTCAGCAAGAACCAGGGGAGCGCCCTGGTAACTTGGCGGGTCGGTTGAGTGGCTGTACTTGTGACGAACGCAGCTTTTCAGACGCGGTGGGATTGTGGCTGTGGAGAGGCTGATGCTTTCTGTTGCCGTATTCTCGGGCACTTGAGCATGAGTTGAAGTTTATCCATGCTTGCTTGCTTGCTTGCTTGCTTGGCTTGGCTTGGCTGGCTGGCTGGCT